CCCACAGGACTGACCTGTACCTAAGGACTAAGCCTGCCTGCTGGTGTTCCTCTGCTGGTGTCCCTCTGCCCCGCCGAATCTCTGCACCTGGCCTCCAGGCGGAAGCTGGTCAGACCCTCAAGTGGCCTGGGTCGGGCTGTCGGGACCTCACCTGGGACAAAGCCAAGGAGGAGGCAGAGGAGTCGCCGCTGCAGCTGCTGCTGATTTAAGCAGAAAATCTTCGGAACAAGGTCTGCCTGCCTGCCTCGTACACACACTTCAGAGGCAGCACGGAGCCAATAGCCGAGGGGCCCAGGGCAATGGTTCTCTGGAATCTGCTGCCCAGCTGGGGCTGAAGAACCAAGCATCTCAGCACGGCCCCAGCTGGGTTTTGCTTACGCTTCCTGACTCAGCCGGCTGCCCGGCCCAGGGGGCAGGATCTTTCTCTGCCAAGGCACATTTGTTTAAAAACCCCAAACTCACTTCCGACTCATAGTGGCCCTGTAAAACAGGGTCGCCCTGCCAAACTGCTGGCCTTGCTATATCGGCCCACCGTGTCACCGCCAGGCCTCCACGGCGTGAAGAAGAGAGATGGGCTGTGGCACAGGAGGAGGTGGGCCACAGGGAAGGTTTGCAACCTCAGCCCTGTATCCCGACCAGCTGTGAGCCACCTGGAGGCCAGCGGGGCCTCCCTGGGGCCGGTGGTACCAGTCCGAAGCAGCTCCTTTTTGAAACCTCACGCACGAGCTTTTCTTCCTCTGTCAAGTGCTCCCTGGGGGGGTCAGCATCCTCTTTCCTAGCCGTCACCCCTATAGGGCTGCGCTGACAGACTCCTGAGTCCCACGACCTCCTAGGACCGCGCTGGTGGCTGACCTTGGCCTAGGAGTCACTGTGGACCATTGGGACATCTCGTTTGTCCACTATTTCTCCATCCGGGGCCTCGGATCCCCAGCTTGTTGCTTACAGGCCAAGTGTTCCTGCAGCCCTGGGCTTGTCTGCCCAGTCCGGTGACAGTCTGTGTGGACGTGAGCCCCATGCTGGTGGGCTGGGGTCAGCACCCTTGGAATTCATACCTCCCACGCCTCTGGGGTGGTGTCCTGGGCTGGAGCAGCGGACTCGCCCTGACTGTGCCTCCCTGCAAAAGGAGCTGTCTGTGTGCATGCAAACTTCCTGGGGGAAAGGCTCTGTCGGCTTGCTTCCTACCCCACCGAAAGCTGCCATGGAGGAAGCCGCTGGGTAGACAGGCTCGCAGAGGCTCGCCATGGTGGCAGCATCCCGGGGAAGAGGGCCAGTCTGCCTCCCTCAGATGGGGGCCAGCAGGGGACACTTGGAAAGACCCTTGGCACCCTGCGTGGTGTGGCAGCACAGGTGTGAGGCTGAAACGGATGCCAGTTGAGTTTTCCCTCCTCCTGATCCCCTCGGACCTCAGAGTCACAACCAAACCTGTGTGTGAGGGCTGCTGTCGGTTCATCTGGCCACAGTAGGTTTGACAGCCCATGGAAAGCGAGCGTCCTATTCCAGAGACTGCCTCACCCCTCTTTCTGTGTGACGTTAAAACACGTGTACGTGGGTGTGAGGGGCCAGGCGGCCGGTGGGCGCTGTGGAGTAACGTTACTCTCTCACACACACAGCCGTCAGTGGCGTACGTGCACACCACACCGGGCCTCCCTTCAGGCTGGGAAGAGAGGAAGGACGCTAAGGGACGCACGTACTATGTCAATCATAACAATCGAACCACAACGTGGACGCGCCCCATCGTACAGGTATGAAGACCTCCAGCGCTCATGTCTGGTTCAGAACGGCCCCGGGCCGGGCCTCTGGTACAGTAACACTTTACGCCTAACCGTCACCCCAGGGAGGAACACAGTCACCAGATCGGGCTACCCTGGGGCCAGTTGTTGAACTCGGTGACGTGAAAGATGCTCTTGAGGTCATCACCCATTAGACAACTAGCTGTTCCCAGTTGTGTCCCCTGGAGGCGAGTACAGTGATGATTCGCAGGAATGTGTTTCCCCATGGTCTTTCCCCTCCATCATTAAGTTGACTGGTTTCCCTCCCTGCTGTAAATAGGCCAGGCCTCTCATTATGGCTGTGTGGTGGTGGTGTTTGGGTGCTCATCTTGAGCACACACACATGCCGGGAGAACCTCGGACGGGAATAACTTGTTTTTGCCTCCACGCCAGCTCGCGGAAGATGGCGCGTCGGGATCGGCCACAAACAGTAGCAGCCATCTAATCGAGCCCCAGATCCGCCGGCCCCGTAGCCTCAGTTCACCAACAGTAACTCTGTCCGCCCCGCTGGAGGTGAGCCGGCGCTGGTCCGCCTGCGCCCCTTCTCTGCTGTGCCTCCTCCTCCTCCTCTTTCTCTCACGTGGACTTCCGTCTGGCAGCCTCCCGCCCCCTCGCTCTGGTCAGCCGTGGTGTCTGTGGTGTCCATGGTGTGAGGTGGCCGGCTCCTACACCTCCACCCCACGCCTCTCTGTCCACCCATTAACACGCCTGGACTTTCATGCCCATCTGGCTCTGGCATGGGGGGCTCCCCCCGGCCTCTCAGCACGGTACCATTCTGTGTTTCCTCATTAGAATTTCATAAGAACTGCTTCCAGTGCCCACGCTTATGTTGAGTGTAAAACATAGCCGTGGCTCCAATCGTTGTCTGTGTGTTTGTATGTTTCTTCTCGTTCTGCTGGAGGGAATTCCCTTGTCTGAGCGGGGCTTGTGTATGTCTTCAATGTGGACTTGCATCTCCAAACCATGGTGTGTGTGTGTGTGTGTGTGTGTGTGTGTGTGTGTGTGTGTGTGTGTGTGTTGGGGTGGGTGGGGGCGCGGCGTAGTGTGTGGAGGGTCAGCATGGCTCCCTGGCTTCGTGGTGTGTCAGTGAACTGGGCAAGCCCAAGCAGGGGCCTTTGGCTGTGGGTCTCTGCAGGCCTCCCCAGCTGAAGACACTGAGGGGTGGGACTCTAGACAGCACCTCTGCCAAAGGGTGCTACATATGCCAACACCTACAAGGGCTGTGCGACACCAGGAGGCCGTCTCCCTCGATCTGGGCTCTAAAGCTCCTGGCTCCTCCTGCACTAGACTGTGAGCTCTTTCCGAGCAGGGGCCAGTCTGTCTGCACGCTGTGGGCCGCCCACCTGCAAAAAGCCTTACAGGGAGCTGATAGTGGCTGCCTGCCAAGCAGCCAACAGAAGACAGGGGCTGAAAGCGTTGAACACGACCGTCTGTGTGACCCCTCAGAAACGTCTGGTTAGGCTGACTTCCGAGTCAACGGGTGACAGTATTTTTGGAGGGTCCCCCTCCTCGGCCCACCTCCAAAGAGGAGGAGCATTCCACAAGACCCAGGGGTAGTTGTGGCGCACCTGGGAGGGCCCGCAATGAGATCTCTAATGCTGGTTCTTGTTCCCCAGGGGGCCAAGGATTCACCCATACGCCGAGCGGTGAAAGACACCCTCTCCAATCCTCAGTCTCCACAGCCGTCGCCCTACAACTCCCCCAAACCACAGCACAAAGTCACGCAGAGCTTCTTGCCGCCAGGCTGGGAAATGAGGATAGCTCCGAACGGCCGGCCCTTCTTCATCGACCACAACACCAAGACGACAACCTGGGTAAGGCTGCCGCTGCCCCTCGGGACCTCGTCCGCGCCGAACTCTGGCACCCCTTTCCTTTATGCTGTGCTCCGTGCCCACCGCGCTAAGAGAGAGCTCGCACAGGCCCTGAGGTGTGTCTCCCCCCCAGGCTAGCCCGCAAACATTTCTCCCCACAGGGTGGTCTCGCTCTGGCCAGCCTGCAGCATGTCTGCACGGGTTTTCCAGTCTGACTGGATTCTGTGTGCCTGGGCTGGAGGAGTGGGTGGTGTCTGGGCACAGGCTGAGCCAGGCAGCCCTGGCTCGGGTGCCAATCTCGACGGCTCTTTCTCCCTAGCATGCCTGGGGCCCACTTCATCTTGACAAGATGCCACACTGTAAAGATCGTTTTTGTGTTTCTAACTTCTTGAGCTCTGGTTGAAGAATCCTTCCCCACCCTTTCACACATTAACTTGAAACCCGTCCGTAAGGAACGTGGCAGGCCCTCTCCGTGGCCCCCTCCACGGCATGGGCGTCCCTTCCTCCTCCTGCCTCAGGACCAGCCTGACGCCCTCAGCATGGCTGTCCGTTGGCTTATTCTGAAGCTGTAGCCCAACCCACATCTGCCCAGCCATGTTGTTCCTCCCATGTACAAGTCTGTGAGATCCATTGGAATCAGTCCTACTGGGCGCCCATCGCCAGCATCCTTTGCCCAGCGTTAACGTCTTCCCCTGGCGTTTTGTGAGTGTACGGGGAAGCACGGTCCTTCCTTCAGCCGACCTTTTCCTTTGCCCATTTCTTGGTGCATGTTTTTCGACTCCCTTGCCTGCCTGTGGGCTCTCCCTTGGGCTCACAGAGTTAGTGTCAGGTTAGTAGTTGATGTTTCTCTGCCCCATTGTCATGCCTCTCGGTCAGTGGGGAGACGGGATTGAATGGCTGTGGTTTCTCTTGGCTGCCAATCACATCAGTGTTTTTTTGGGGGGGTGGCTGTTCCATCAACATGGATTCTCCGTGCCCACTGCTCTTCCCAATGCTCCTGAATCCCACATAGAGATCCAGGTAGTGTGTTCACTTGGGAGAGCAGAGCTTGGCCAAATGGAGTTGTGCATACCGGTACATTCCTCCACTAGCTGTCCATTTCTTTAGCTGAGTTGGTGGTGATTCGTTCAGCATGACCCTTGGGGTGCCACAGGACCGGGCAATATCTCGTCCTGTTGAAACCAACCCAACTGCACCTAACAATGAATCTTTGAAAAGCCAGGTGCTGTTTTTCAACTCTGTCATCCTGAGTATTTTCGTTAAACCGAGATTGTTTCTCGTTGGAGTTCTGAAACCGCAGAAGGTGCCTTCCCCCACCCCACCCCACCCCTGACACACACACACACACACACACACCCGTTTCCTGCTCATCTCATCCCTGTGAAATAGTTGGTATGGAGTTTCACTCCGTCTTACAGTCACCTTTGACACTGACTTAGATCTGAGGCTACGGAAACGCTGGTTGAATTCGGAAACGCTGGTTAAATTCGGTCATGGTCGCTGGCCTGAGCTCTAGGGTCTCGGATCAGCAGCTTAAATCCCCCTGTCTAGTGAGGGACCGCTTGGGTGCCCGGCTGGTTGTAAATCAGGCAGTTGATGAGAAGCGCAGTGTGGGGTTGGAGAAGACACTTCAGCAAGGTGGGAGGTGATGTGGATGGGCCCTGGCCCCATCTCAGCTGCACCCTTTGAGGACGGGACTGACGGCCTAGAGCTCTCCCGCTCCCGATCTCTTGGATCGTGGGACAGGACGACTGCCCTGGGGGCAGGACTGTGCCTTCCGTTACAGGACCGTCAGCATCCTTGTCTTGCTACTGCATGTCAGTAGCCATTGCCTCTCAATCACAGTGACAGCCCCAGAAAGCCCCCACTCATTTCCACGTACCCTTTGTTGGAACTGTTTTTCAACATTTTGTTCTCTTGGGAACTAAAGGAATCTCCTGCCAAGAGAATGTATGAATTTGGGCCAGGGACATCTGTGTGGCCAGTGGAGAAGGACTCCGAAGGTTGGTTTGCCTCCCCTCTGCTTCTGCAGACAGCACGACGGGCTGCTGGGTCGCATGAGCGGAAACAGTGGCTCCTCGGAGAGCATCCTCCTCGGGTTCCCCTCTTTATCCTTTGCTCCGTACCTGGACCCCCACTTCGCTTCAGTGCAGCCCTGCTGCGGTTGGGGATCCCAAGCCAGAAAGCCGAGCTCCCAAAGGGGTGGAAACAAACCGTCTAAAACGGGATGGGTTCCTGCCTGGAGCCACAGTGGCTTGCCTACAGAAAGCTGCGATTTCAGTCATGTGAACTGACTGAGTAATCAAACCCCGAGCCTTTTCACGGCCTCTCACGCCCCCACTGCAGGGGAATCACCCCTGGGCAGATGGTTCCTTTCAACCAGTGTGCCTTCTTTGCCTCCGCCTGCTGAGCAGAGCCCACCTCTCCCGTCCACTCAGTGCTTTATTACCGAGATACGAATTCACTAATCTGAGTGTTCAGTTAAACACACACACACACACACACACACACACTCACTCGTGTGGTTGCTGCTGTCACTGTCACTGTCACTGACCAGCCTCAAGAGGATGCGTGCAGCTCCCAGGATGACTGCCCTTCTGCCTGGAGCTCAGACACCCTGACTTCGCAGCGCCTCCCCTCCCCTGCACAGAAGCCTGCGTGAAGGCTCACCATGGCACACGGTGTTGAAAACGGGAGGAAGATCATTTTCTGCTGAAACCAGTTTGGGATTGGTTTTAGGCATTCACCAAGTTGGCCTTTTGAAGTAGCAAGACAATGAAAGAGGCACGGCTGTGATTAGATGTGACTCTTGCAGAGAGGAAAACGAAAATCAGAAACACGGGTATTACAGGCTGAAGATCATGAAAGCCCGATTTGCCTTCTGGGGCGGAGTGGGTTAAGCTTTGGGCTGCTAACCACTGCAAGGTTGGCTCTTCAAACCCACCACCCGCTCCCCAGAAGAAAGATGAGGCTGTCTGCTCCTGTACTGACTTAAAACCTTGGAGACTCTCGGGAGCAGTTTTCTCCACCCTGAAGAGTTGCTATGAATTGAACTAGAGGCCTTGAACATGGACTAGGATCTTGTGCGTGCCTCTCCCTACCCCCACCACCCTGGATCCTCGTGGGGCTTGTACTGAAGATTCAGGCCCAAGCTCCATCTGCCCACCCTGATCGTGGAACATTTATTCTGAAGGGGATTGACAGAGCCTGGCCCTTGGCACACCCTGATACCAGAAGCATCACGGGCACATGTCACTGGCCAACACATGACAGGCACAGACAGGAGCCCTTCAATTTGACACGGAAGACACGGCTCAAAGCCATATGCAAGGTCCGGTCACCTCTGTCCCAGGGACAACAGCCCCAGCTCACTGCCATCAAGCCTATGCCTGACACACAGCTGCCCTACAGGACAAGCGCAAACTGCCCCTGTGAGTTTTTGAGACTGACAAGTTACAGGAGGAGGAGAAGGCCCCGTGTGTTTTCTGTGGAGCCTGGGTGGGGCGGCCATTATTCCACTTATTGCATCTATTGGAAGGACGCAGTCAGAGGGCTTGAAAAGGGCGTCTGTCTCCCATTCTGTGAATTATATGTCTCCCAGCACATCCATCTCGGCAGACCTACACTATTCCCTACCGGGTCTCCCACCCACCCCGGGTCTCCCACCCACCCCTCTTTCCTACCGGGTTTCCCACCCACCCTCCCATTTGACTTTAAATCGCGAGCTTTTCCCCTTAAGGGATGGCATCTGCCTTTCACAATAGCTTGTGCAGGCGATTCAGAGGCCAGCCTCGCCCCTCACATCCCAGAGCCTGGGAGAGTGTCCCAGGTGGGGCAAGGGGGGTCCACAGCCACACCGATGGCCATGCTGTCACCTGGTCACAGCTCGGGGGAGCACTGAGCGGGGAGTCTCTGTGGAAATTCCGTGCTTTCCACTTTGTGCTCTCCATGATGACCTGGTCTCCAGGTTTTATCAGACTGTTGGTTTCACACCCTTCTGAGCCTGCTCATCAGCTCGGTGGGCAGGTGTGTGGTACGCTGTCAGTGTAGGGGGCCCGCCATCTCCCTCAGAGCAGCTCATGGGTTTGAACTTCTGATCTTGTGGCTAGCAGCCCAATTTGTAACCCACTATGCCCCCAGAGCTCCTTGAAGGGTGAGTACAGGTATAACACGGGTCCCTTCATAGGAAGCTGGGCCCCTTACACCACATACCTGCACCATCGGTAGCTGATGAGCAGGCTCAGAAGGGTGTGAAGCCCACACAGGCCTTTTTCCTCTGCCCCATAGGGTCACTGTGATAAGTAGGTTTATCACAACCCTGTCTAACAGTGTCAGAATTCACTCGGTGGCAGTGGGATGCTTGTTCTTTAGTTTTAGTTTGCATATCCTTTAAGAAATGTGTTAGTAAGTTTCAGGGCCCTTGCCTGTCCTACTCTGCTAGCATGATTGACTTCATTCATTACATCTTGGCTTTAGCTCAAAGAGATGGGCGGGGGGGGGGGGGGGGGGGGGGGGGGGGGGGGGGGACGGGGGGGGGGGGGGGGGGGGGGGGGGGGGGGGGGGTATGGGAGAGGGGAGATGTAGGGAGGAGTTTGGGATGTGTGCGGTCGTTTTTTAATCTTGCCCGTTGCAAAGACCTATGGCTCTCTTAGGATCCAGTGATGTAGACTGTTGACCTGGAAAATCTGACGTCAGCAGAGATTTCAGTGCACGCATCTGAGGATTATCTGGTTGCCAATGTGTCCATCAGTGTTTCCTCACCTTTCAAGTGTAACGGTAGCAGGCTTTCTGAGTTGCATTGCATTGAGACAGCTCCCAGATTCTCTTCTCAGACCTTTTGGATGCATTCTCTCCAACACAGCTTAGTGGTCCAAAGAAACCCAGCCTGTGGCCGGCCTCCTGAGAGCGTTGTGGCTGGACGCTGTGCCTCTGTAAATGAGGGCGCAGCCTTGAAGTTGGGGGGGCGGGGGTCAACTTTCTCTTTTGCTGGTTTCCTGTGAGCACGGTCCTTTGGGGGAAACCGCCCACCAGCTTTTCAGTGGGTCTTAAACAAGGATCTCCCCTGTAGAAGTTGGCCGACACCTGATCAGGTCCTGAACCAGGGTCTGTGCCTTTACATGAGGAAGGGGCAGCAGGTGCACAGGTGGGACATGAAGGAGCTGGGGTGGGGGGCTTCCCCCTTCCAGAAGCTTAGAGCATGTAGGAAGACATCCAGACTGTGGGCCCGCCTCACCTATCTCTGCCAACCCCTCCCCTATCCAAATTCCATGGTTACCTTTTTTGCCACCCTTTCCCCGAGAACGTGGATGAGTGGCATCTTTGTGGAGGTGACGGTCTGCCAGGCTTCTTGTCCAGAGTAGAAAGCTGGCCTCCCTCCCGCCCTGGCTGCCTGGAGCTCACAGCCGCACGAAAGACACACTGCCGCAGGCGCCCCCACCCTAACATCTTCTGGGTTTTTGTCGCAGGAAGACCCACGCCTGAAGTTTCCAGTACACCTGCGGTCCAAGGCGCCCTTAAACCCCAATGACCTCGGCCCCCTTCCCGTGAGTATCCTCAAAGCACGTGGGGTCACTCTCCAAGAAGCAGCAGGCCTGGATTTCCTCTTAGAAACCTGGTGTTTGGCTGAGCTTTGATAATCTGCCCCGTTCCTGCCACACCCGGCACTTGGGAAAGACGTTCCGGGACAGCTAGCTGCGCAGAAGGTAGACCTTGCAGCTAGCAGGCGTGAGCAGCATCCGGCGACCGGCTCTTTGCACAACAAGTGTTAATGTCGGAGCTCAGCAGCCACCGAGGCCCATCCGCCTCAGCTGACATCCTTATGGGCACAAAAACACTTAAAACAGTGGGAGGAAGAGAAAAGGCCGAAGTAATCACAGAAGGTTTCCAGGGGTCATTGAGACTCTGGCTGTTTACGGATTGTTTCTCACTGGTTGCTGACTGTTTATGAACCTGCAAACCTGTATGGATAATCAGGGGCCCTGAGTGGGAATTGAGCCTGTTTACTCTAAGTTGAATTTTATATGGATGTTCACCATGCACCCACCTTGACCCGTCCCGGGTGAAAAGTCAGCCTCGCTGGGCTCTGAGGCTATTTTTAGTAGGAAAAGATGCCGGAGCTGGTTTGGAGTATTGGTTTTCATTGTTGTGCAACTGAAAGTGAACGTGTAGGATCTCCCTGTGGGGTCTGTGGGACCTATGTCAGTGGCAAAGTTGGAAGCTAGAGAGAGAGTTCAAGGCTCGTTCACCAAGTCACACACATAAACTGCAGAACCAAACTCACCGCCATTGAGTCGGTTCCGGCTCATCGCGACCCTCTAGGACAGGAGCATCGCCCTGGTGAGTTTCCGAGACCTGATCTCTGCAGGAGTAGACAAGCCTCATCTCTTTCCTGAGGTGGGTTCTCCCACTGGTGGGTTCGAACCACAGACCTGGTCGTTCGCAGCTCAATTCTTAACTCACTGTGCCCTGGGTTTATGTGGAGGATCCAGACAGGGAATTGAGAAAGTAAACGTATGTTCTCTAAGTCCAGGGCAAATCAGATGCCAAAGACATGCCAAGCAGCCTTGCCTGGAAAAGCCGCCCCCCCACCCCCAAGTCTATTTCGTTCCTAAGTTTGAAAAGGGTTCAGAGCAGAAAAACTCAGGGTTAGGTTGTTCAGCATAAACCGTGTAGTGCTTCTATCTCAACACTCCTCCCCTTCACCTTAAAATCAACTAAACCTACTGCCAAGGAGCCAGTTATATCCCATCGCAGCCTTGGTTGGGGTTTCTGAAGCTGTGACTCTTTACTGCAGCCAACAGCCTCATCTTTCTTCCAAGGATCGGCTGTTGGGTTTGAACTGCAGACCTAGCTATCCAGTGGGCAATCCTCTCTGCCACTGGAGCTCCCTTCCTTCCCTTTCGTGCCCACTGAGATTTACAAAGTGAAGTGAGCTGTTCAACCCCTAACCTGGCAGTTCCCATGGTCTGCTGCAGCTGCCCTGGAAGCTTTTGAAAGAGCAGCCCCCTCCTTGCTCTGTACTGAATGCTCCCTGTGCATCCAAACCAACTGAGCACCGTACAGCCTGTCGCTGGGCACTGCCGCAGGTTTGTCCGACACAGTTTGCATTTCGTTTATTCCAAACATAAAAATATATATACATACATACATGTCTAGACACCCAGGAGAGGAGAATAAGAAAGCGTCCTAGAGTTCTACAGCAAAGCCCTGTGCTTTGAGACCTGGGCTGACACTACTCATAGCGTCTCTCTCTCTCTCTCTCTCCCTCTTTGCTCCGCCACACTAGCCTGGGTGGGAAGAAAGGATTCACCTGGACGGCCGGACATTCTACATCGACCACAGTAAGTCAGCGCCGCCGGCAGAGGGTGGCGGGTGGCCAAGAGCACGCGTGGAAGCCTCGTAACTCTCCTCTCTGTTTAGGCGGCCCGGTGTTGTGTGGCGAGAATGATAGCGGGGATGCAGTGCCCTCCTACGGTACTGTGGCTCGCTGCTCTGTGCTGTAAACCAGCTCACCAAGCTTTCACCCAAGCTGTGGCCTATTAACTTGTTGGGCCCCTCCCTCCCCCCGTTAATTATCCCCCCCAAAATCTTGGTTGATGACCCCTTGACTTTTGCGCTTTTTAATTGGAAACACTTGCAATGGAAAATAAGCTTAGAAGTGACGCCTCACTCGCCGGTCCGTGGGAAGAGGGGGGCCGGTGCCCCTTCTGACCTTATTTTCTATTCTCGGCATGTTTCCTGCACCCAGCACACTAATCTGTGCGGCCTCCTGGCCCTGACATGGCACAATGGCCTCTGTGCCACAGGCACTGGCCAGTGTCTCCGGGCAGTGTGTGGTTTCTCCTTCCCACTAAAAGTCCAAACTAATCAAGACTTGCGGTCGGCCAGCGGGTCTGTCGTGGTTTCTGGTTTATTGCCCCCTGCTATTCCGAGGACTACATGTCTCGGAAATTCTGGAAGCGTGTGTTGGACAGAGGGGCCTCTAGGAGGTGGGACTTTCAGGTGGTGCATGGGACGTGGCTGGCATCCGGACCAGGCCCTGTTAGCAACCTGGGTGCCGGGAGGTCTGGCCGCCATGTGGTGCCTGCCCGTGGGCCGGCTCGCCCTGGTCTCGAATGTCCCAGGGGACTGTGTATGTCTCAGTCATACCTGCCCATCTGGTGTCACTGAGCGAGGGGCTGCCAGTGCTCAGGATGGCAGTGCCAGCGGGAGTCCTGGGTGCCGGGCAGCCACTCCCAGCTACGCAGGCTTCATCCTTCTCTTTTGCCAGCAAAAGCGCTGGCCCTGCTCCTCCCCAGAAATCGACAGCTGCCGTGCACGGGACACACTTTATAAAACATGCATGCCTATCAACCCCCTTGTGCCCATAGTTACTGTTGCTTATAATTCTCCTCTTGGTGCAATCTTTACCAGGCCGTACCCTCTGTCCTGATAAAACAGCCTCACTTTCTGTTTCCGGGGGATGGTGGTGGATTGGGGGAGGAGATATGTGATCAGCTCCGTCACGGATGTCAAAGACGGGCAGAGTGATCCCGCGTTGCCGTCAAGGCCGCTCTGAGACGGAAGCGCAGGCCCCTTGCACGCAGCATTGCACTGCGCCTGTTTGGTGAGCAGATGCTGCAGTCAGCCTTCAACCTCAGAACTTTGGGCACTCGTGCTCTGTCCTGAACCACAAACAGTAAAAAGCCAAGGCCAGGCCCAGGCCCCGTGGTACGTTCAAAGTATGCAAAATCACAGACTGCGGCCGTGCCTGCCCACAGAGCTGTCGTCTCAGGGTCCCTCCGTCCTCCTGTCTCCCTGCCTAGCAGGGATGTGTTGTTTTCCGTGGGGGCATCATGTAGTGGCCTTCCTGAAATAACCGTTGTCCTTTGCTCCTGTCGAGTTGGCCACCGCTCCTGGGGCACCCACGTGTGGCAGTAGAGCCACTCCATTTTCTGACGCATTGGGCGGCTCACCACAAAGCTGGCAGTTCGAAAACACTGGCCATTGTGTGCCCTTTCCTTCGTTCGATTTTATTCTCACTTGCTCTCCACCAAAAATCCACCTGCTACTTGGCAGCATCGACTGTTGTCAAGGCCATTGGCCCCCGAGTGCCTTTTGTTTGCAGGGATGCGCTCAAACCGCCCAGACGTCCGCATATTTGGTATCCTACCGGCTAGAAGAGTGAGGATCCCAACTTATTCTTTGTCCTTCTCTCGTTTGCTGTAGAGAGAGCCTGTTTCCCTCCCGTACCCCCTCCCTGTAGGACCCCTCTCAGCCCACTTCCCCTCCTGCTGCCCCCCACCACAGCAAACCCTCTGCCATCAAGCCAACTCCAGCTCGCAGGACAGAGAAGAACTGCTCCCTAAGGTTTCCAAGACTGTAGCTCCTCACAAGAGCCAACAGCCTCAACTTTCTCTCAAGGGGCAGCTGGTGGATTCAAACTCCTGACTGTGCAAGCTTAGCAACCCAGCTCATAACCCGCTGGCTGCACTCCACCAGGGCTCCTTTGCAGATGTGCAGAGGAATCTGTAGCCTTTGTCACTGCACACGGGCCCTCGCCCCGGTGAGCCTGGGCAATGCTGCCTGAGTCAGCACCCACACCACAATGCTGTTGGCAGTGGGGACCCCTCCTGTTGGCACTGTCATCGAATGCCCATTTGGGAGACTGCCTTCGCTGCGTTCATTTTGATGTGTGCGTGTGACTGAACACATGGACATCGCTTGTGGAATGGAGGAGTCGTGGCTGGAAAAAAGTTTTGGTTTGGGTTTTTCTTTACACTCAGGAAGCAAAATCACTTGAAGTGAGAAAGGACCAGGTGTGTTTGACCCTCTTGGCGGATAAGGCTTTATCTGTTTTTTTCCGTTGCTTTTCTACCTGTGGTTACGTGGAAAGCAAGATGGAGTTCATAAATCCCCGAGCGTGGGGTTTCTGATGGAGATCTGCACAGGCAGCCTGCGTGCCAGGAACCGTGGGGGGCTCCCGGCTTCTCCTCCACTGTGTTTCTTGAGCGCCTGTGTCTGGCTCAGCAGTATGCCATGCCGAGCACCCCGTGACCCCCTAACCCCCAAATGCACTAAGCTCCTAGCCTTGGGGGCGTGGTGGGAGCCGGGCAGCCTTCGGAGAATCCAGAAACCGCGTGTGTCGTCCATGGAATAGATGTCAACTGACGTGCTGATTTTTCTTCTTTTCAGATAGCAAAATTACGCAGTGGGAAGACCCCAGGCTGCAGAACCCAGCCATCACCGGTCCGGTCAGTAGTCTCAAGTTCTTACCCCTCCGGCCTAAGCGTCTGGGTGCTTCCCAACCTGCCTTTCTTGTAGAGCACAGCCAGGCCCGGGACCCAGGGGCCTGTGTAGCAGGCTGAGTCCCATTCCTCAGCTCTCCTTCCCCTGAGAAAGCAAGCACTGTGCTGAAGCTGTCGACGTCCACACTCGCTCTCTTGACAGAGTGGCTTGGAGAAAGGAAGCCACGCTGGCCCTCCGGCTGTGGAGCCTGCGTGTTTCTTCAGCCCACCTGTCAGTAAATGCCCTCTGCTGGCCCCAGCCCTACACGGCTCTCTTGCAGCCCTCCTGTGGGCGAGTCTGGGGGTGGGAGGGGGTTCCGTTGGGGCCCCTCCCCAGCTCCCATGGAGCTGAGTCCAACCGCGGTTGACCCGTGAGTGTCAGAAGAGAGAGGGCTCCCGAGGGTCCCATGTGACTAGTTTGTTCAAGGATGGGATGTAGGCCTTTAGAACGGGCGTGGACGAGAGGGCCCATTTCCAACGACCAACAGACCATCCGAACTCACTGCCGTAGAACTGATTCTGATTCAGAGAGACTCGGTAGGACAGAGGAGCACTCCTGCGCGTTTCCAAGGCTGCACTTCTTTACAGGAGCAAAAGATGCCTCGTCCCCCACCCCCCCTCCCAGGGCAGCGACAGTTTTGAACTGCCAGCCTTTTGGTGAGCAGTCTCCCTCGGTGCGCATCCACCGGGGCTCCTGGAGCAGACTGTGGGCAGTGTCTGCTCTCTGGAGAATATTGTTGTGAAAAGGGTCTTTGTTTCTCTGGGCTAATTCAGCTGGGAAGACTATTTTTGGTTAGAGCGCTGTGTTCCCGTGTGAGGTTGGTCATTTGTGTGGACGTGTGTTGGAGCGTGTGAAGAAGACCGGTTTGTTCTCTCTCCCCCCACCTGGCTAAGAGCAAGTGTAGTGAGGAGGAAGGCGTGGCGTCTGGAAACTGGATGTGAAGAGTCAGAGGGCATTTTAGTAACCGAGCCCAGAATGGGGCCGGCAGAAGCTCCCTCTGCTGGAATCCACACTCCTGGGGAAAGAGCAGCGAGCATCTTTGCATGTGCAAGTTGTCCGAGTTCCGTCCACACGTCTGCAAAAGCACGTCTGTTTTTCTTCATTTAAAAGAAAAAATGTACGCTTTTAAACCGTCTGAATGTCAGGCTCTGGCTCACCTATTGGAAGCGGCTTGAAACCCAAAGATCAATAATCCCTCCCAACCACAGCCGTCTGTCTGGTCAGTCGGACTCGCAGCAACCCGGGTGAAGGGTCTCTGAGGCTGCGTCTCTGTGGGCCCAGACGGCCGCGCCGCTTCCCCACCAAGGGGTGGTGGGCTTGACACAGAGCTTGAGGCTTGCAGTCAGGGCTTGGCTTTGTGAAAACGTGACTGCTTGTCCTGAAGCTGAAGCCACGCTAGGACTTTTGAAGGTGAACAGTTCAGTTAGTGTGCCCCCACCCATGTGTCCATCGCATGACCTTATAGACGGGGCATCTGAGATTTGATGGAATTAAGTGCGTCTCCCTAGACCGGCGGTTCTCAACCTGTTGGTCGCGACCCCTTTGGGGGTGAATGACCTTTTCACAGGGGTCGCCCGGTTCATCACAGTAGCAAAATGATAGTGATGAAATGGCAACGAGAATCATTTTATGCTTGGGGGCCACGACAACCTGAGGAACGGTATGAAAGGGTCGTGGCATGAGGAAGGTTGAGAACCACTGCCCTAGACCATTCAACACTAGGGTAGACTTCCGACTCCTAGTGGCGTACTTTCCCAGAATGCCACCCACCTGACTCTGTAGCCCCTCACGGCTGTCCGTTCGTCTGCCTTTCTGGCCAGCCTGCCCTCCCCAAAGGCGTTTTCTGTTTTATTTTTTTATGCTGGCATTCTTTTTTACTGTCTTAGGGTTTTCATGGAAAATAGATGGTTGTTTTTGGTTTTGCTTTTAATGAGAATCAGAGCATATGTATCAGATCATCATTTTTGTATTCAACAATGTGAACGGCGTTTCAACCTTCCAGTAGTCCCCTGGAGATGTGGGAAAGCACTTTTCAAAATTGACCTGTATGGTGGTGTGTCGTAGCCGGTGACCCTTGTTTAAATCTCTCGTATCTAAACCACACTGAAGGGCGCAGTACACACTTCATGTGCGGACTCACTTTCACAAAAAAGTCACGTGGAAGATTTACTAGCTTTACAGTATATTCCTCAAAGCCCCTTCCTCCACCACCTGTTTAAATTATTGTGATAAAAATAACGGAAAATATGCATTTTAAGGTTGTACAGTGTGGTTAACTATATTCACCATAGCAGGTAACCATCAACACTACTCATTTTCAAATGTTTTTATCACCCTAAACAGAAATCCAGTACCCATTCTTCCTTCCCCCTAGCCCAAGGTTCAAAAGAAAAAAATTCTCCCGCAAAGGTGATTTCAAACTTCTGACCTTTTAGTTAGCAGCCAAATACTTAACCACTGTGCCACCAGGGTGCCTCGGACCCTGGTAGCCACTAGCAACACTTGTCTGTCTGCATTTGTCTAGTCTCAATCCTCTGTGTAAGCTCGCGCTGTATTGATACTGTTACGTCTAACAGATCGACTCAGGTGAACCCACATGGTGGAATGTATCAACACTTAGCTTTCCTTACAGCTGAATAATGTTTCCTTGTTTGTCTGCACACCACGTGTTCATGTATCCAGTCATCTGTTGAGGGGCACCTGGGTGTTCCCGCCCTTCTTGCTGTGGTAAATAATGCTGCAATGAACGTTGGGGCACAAGCACGCACCTGTGGGCATCTTTGCTGCCAAGCTCTTGGGGAGCACGCGAATGAGCACTTTCGTGAGCAGGATAGATGTTTTCGGATTGGAAGCCCCCTTGGGGGCTGACTCCTCCTGAAGAGTCTCCAGGACTTCCCCAGGTCCCCGTAGACGTTTTCCATAGGCCGTACGGAGCGTGGGGATTTAAGGTCTAGAACGTTCTCTGGTGTTGGCTGAGCGTTCCTGAGGCCTCACGTGCGTCTTGGGCATGAGCTACAGACATCTGCCTCTCTCGTTCCAGGCTGTCCCATACTCCCGAGAATTTAAGCAGAAATATGACTACTTTCGGAAGAAGCTAAAGAAACCGGTGCGTATTCCTGTCTCCCACCAGTGCTGAGCTTTCCTCGTTTGCCGAGTCTCCAAAGTGGCTGCAGTGGGAAGCACCAGTGTGTCACTTTCTCGTGAAATCCAGAAAGTATCCCCTGGTTTTCCCAACCGTTCACCTTCCGGCTGGTTCACTCCCAGCGCTCGAACCGCCGCACCACCAGGGCTCCTCAGCCTGGCTAGGGTGGGGATGGTTTCGGGACTGTGGTCTCCAACTGGGGCTGACCAGTATGGAAGAGTGGCTTCAGGTCCGGTGACCGGATGAATGTCCCCCCGAGGGTCCAGCCAGGCTGGCCCTGCGGCAGCCGAAGATGCTAGCTCAGTGTGACTAGCAGCTGGTGGGTCCCGTCCCGTTTCGGCAGAGCACGGTTTCCCATCTGCAGGAGGAAAGGCCCCTCCCAGAAGGAGACAGGGGGCTCACTGGGAGCCGTTCACACTGCTGCCATCACCACCCCCCGCTGGGATTTGCTCTTGGGAAGTCAGGTGGACGGGCAGGAGATGATGACGTTGCTGTCTGCTTGTTTGTTTTCTTCCAAACAGGCCGATATTCCAAACAGATTTGAGATGAAACTTCACCGAAACAACATATTTGAAGAGTCCTACAGGCGAATCATGTCAGTGAAGAGACCGGATGCCCTGAAAGCCAGGCTGTGGATTGAATTTGAGTCCGAGAAAGGCCTTGACTATGGCGGCGTGGCCAGAGAGTGGTTCTTCCTGCTGTCCAAGGAGATGTTCAATCCCTACTACGGCCTCTTTGAGTACTCTGCCACGTGAGTGTCCAGTGCCCATCTCCATCGGTTCCCCCCGGAGGGGCCCTGGGTGGGCATCTGAGATGAGCTAATGCTGCTCACATCAGCGCCACCCCTGCCCTGGCCCAGAGCAGGAGGGGATGGCAGGGTGACCCAGGCTGGAAGGGATACTTCTCTGTCGGGTTCATGTAAGGGAGACTGAACCACGTGCCAAGAGGTCATCGTGAGGAACCATGGCATCTTCCATCTGGAAGGTGTTCGTGGGAAGGGCCAGTGTCAGAATTCAGAAAGGGGCACCATTATAAGGGCAAGGATGGTTTCTGAACGCACACCCTGAAATTAGGACTTTGGGGACCTGGTGGTAGGATTCCATCAGGACCAGGCTCAGGAACAGAGGCAAACCCAGTCCCTCTCCGAGGCTGACGTTTCCCCGCCAGACTGGAGATGCCAGAGGTGGAGGCACCGCCTGAGTCCTCAGTGGCATAGCTGCTGTCTGTGCCCGAAGGGCATTAGCATCGCTCTAACCCTGTGCTCTTGGGGACCCCAGGTCCCAGGTTTTCCACCCAGGACCTGGGCCCTGGGGGCTACTGGCATGTCCTCCATGCCACCTCCTCAGTTGGTGTAGCCATGAATTCTCAGTGCTGTAGAAAGTTTGTCAAACCATTGGTGTGGATGGCGCAGAAGGGAGAGCCTCCCCCCTCCGCTGGCATCCACAAAAACGCCTCAGGGAGGGGGTCTCTGTCTGGGGAGGCACCTGGAAACTGAGGGTCCTCCTGAGGGTGGGCTCAGAGAAGGGCCAGCAGATGTGTGTGCACTGTTGAGAAGTCCGAGTCCTGCTGCCACTTCCCGGATTCCAGGGGGAATAAGTCTCACCCCCCGACCCCAGAGCTGCTCCAAGGGACCCTTCCTTCCTCACACACTGGGAATCCCTGTCACCTCCGTTAGGTGAAGATGTCTCACCGTCCCAAGGTACCTGGTGGGACCATATGACGTTGACAGGCTGTGGATCAAACACTGAGGTGTCAGCAGTTAGGATGGCTCAGGTTGATGTGTAACATCGGGCTGTTAGACCTGGTCGGTCATTGCCCGTGAAGGAGGACTAATGGAATGGCGGCATGCCCTCTGACTTGCACCGGGGTTCTCAGCCGGCCAGAGCATCTGCAGGTGCGCTAGCCCAGCTGGGGAGGAACGGGCAGAGAAAATCCAGCTGCTTGCGTTTGTTGTTCAGAGCTTGATTGGGCTTGTCCTCTCTCTCTTCTTCCCCCAAAGGGACAACTACACGCTTCAGATCAATCCCAACTCGGGCCTCTGTAATGAAGACCACTTGTCCTACTTCACGTTCATCGGCAGGGTCGCTGGCCTGGCAGTCTTTCACGGGAAACTCTTAGATGGTAAGTCGTAGCCGGGCCTTGAAGGAATGAAAACAGGCTGGCGCCGGTTCTGTGTGCCGCCCCTCTGGGGTGGCTCGGCTCTCACGGTCGCGGTGCAGCGAGCTGTCGTTGATGCTTTGTCCCGAGTTCCATCTTCAAGAGGGCCTTGAGGAGGTGGTGTCTGCACAGGGTTGAGAAAAATAAGACAGAAACCCGACATTGACAGCCAAGGACATTTTGTATTTGTGCACTTTCCCTGTTAGGTTTCAGAATAATGTTCTTTTTTTGCAACATCGGTGGCAGATGGAAAAACTAATTAAAACGTTAATTAAAATGATCTAATCCATCCAGTGCCCTGCCATTGCTCCATGTGTCCCCAAATTACATTATAATGAGAAGAGACGGTAAGTAATGTCAAGGCGGTGTTACAGCTCAGCTGAGGCGGGAGAAAAGGGCCCCAGGAGACGTCTCAGGAGACCAGACTCTCAAGGTGCCCTGGAAGGTGGAAGGCAGGCCCTGGTCCATGTCGCTGTGTCTGCGGCTTTGTCCTACAGATAGGCCTTCCTGCCACGCAGCTGGGCTTCTCCAAGCAAGTGCCCCGAAGAGCACACTGCAGAAGTCTCCAGTGGGAAAAGAGTCAGGTAGTTTTTAAGAACTGGTGGAGAGGTGAGGTGGTCGAGGGGGCAGACGGTGAGTAGGGTGTGAAGTTGGCATTGCCGCCACCCTGGGGAGGCCCGAGGGGGTTGTGACATCGCACATACGGGGCTTTGGCCATCCGCAGGAATGATTGGTGTGCCCTCTGGCGTTCCTTTACTAGAGTTCTGCTGCTGCTGATTGGGGCCCGCCGGTGTCTTTTTGGCGGCAGCAGTAAACACGTGATTGGGAGGAAACTGTTTGAGAGGGAGAGACGGAGGAAGGGAGGGAGGAAAAGAAAAAAGCCTTCAACAGGTGATGTGGGGTCATGCCCAGGATTATTTCAGACTGCCCAAATTGACTTCAATCCTTTAGGATTAGAAGCAGGCCCGTTTATTCAACTTCTACCAAATGAAGAGATATTAGTTGCTACTGCAGGGAAAATACAGATATATGCAAGAGACGACGGCCCAGACGTCAGTGAACGTATGTTCAGCTAGAGGGAATTAGGTGGGGGAGGTGGGTTACAATCACAGAGCCCAAGGGAGGCCTCCATCAGTCAGTCCTCAAGAAAAGCAGGTCGGAGGAGAGGGCCGGAATGGGCTCTCAAAGGTCAGCCACACCTCGAGGGAGGCTGGGGTTGTTTCCGGAGGACAAAGTGAGGCACGCAGCAGGCCTACCTGGGGAGCCCAGGGAGGCTGCGACATGGTTCCAGGGGAAAGGAGGTAGCACTGCTGGTCAGGAATGGCCACATTAAAGGCCAAGGTGCCCACAGGGTTGGGGGAGGGGGAAGGATGGTCAGCTGTGCCTGACTTCAGTTTTCAAAGAACGTGGCTGCCCCCTTAATCACGACATGCTCTGCGCACACATCTGCCCACTCACCCTGTTGTCAGCGTCAGCCTTCCTACCGCCCTAGAAAGTGAGTTCCACAGGGTGACTCAGGAAGACAGTGAATGATTATCATGGCAGGTGCACAGACCTGGCGCCAAGAAACCAGAAGAGAAGAGCGAGCTCAGCCCTTCACACGCTGAAAGAGCCGGAGAAAGAATCTGAGCCGTGAGTTGCAAGACTGAAAGATTCTATGGACAAAATACTGACCTGCACAGAAAACATCACAGGAAGATGGAGGCAATGCGACCCAAAAGAACGGGTCCCTGGCCAGTCCTTTCAGGGGACAGCCAATAATGCAGAACTGGTGGCCCTGAAGGAACACGGCACTGCAAGAAAACCAAGGCTCCAGGAACTGATGTGGCCTACCAAGGTGATGCCCCCAGAAGCTGAGGAAGCATGTGGAAGCACTCGCTGGTCTATCCAGCAACTTTGGGAGACAGCTACTTGGCCAATTAGAAGAGAGCCATCTTTCGTTTGCCCATTCCAAAGAAAGGTGTGATCCACCAAAATGCAGACGTTATCGAACACCATCAATATACCATGCAAGTGAAATTTTGCTGAAGATATATATATATATATATTTTTAATTACAGTATATACATCGACAGGGAACTTTCAGAAATTCAAGGCGGGGTCAGCAGAGGATGTGGAATAAGGGGTGTGTTAGTCTGGGTACGTTAGAGAAACAAATCCACAGAAACTCATGGATAAGAGAGTTTTATATAAAGGGTAAGTTCACAGCAAGAAAACATCCCAACCCAGTGCTGCCCAAGCCCTCAAGTCCACCATTAACCCACATGTCCAACACCAGTCCACAACGTCCTCCTCCATCTCACAAAGCAGACGCAATGATGTCAGCTGCAGGATGTCAGTTGTTAGAAGCGGCTTAATCACACCTAACAGCAGCAGTAGACCCTGCAAGTGTTTGAGTTGATGTGTGCTGAGCCAGCGGGAGTCGGGTGCTGCTGAGAGCCTGCAGCTGTTGAGATCTGGGGAGGTGAGGGTGAGGGTCTGGCCCTGAGCCTGGCCCTCCCCAAGCCTTGTGAGAGAAGGAACATGGCGCCTCACCATGTGGTACTGCCATTGCCTTTCCAGCTGCCCAAGCCTTCTAGCCTGTCTCCTGTCCTCTCTCCCCAGTCAATACTGCCCAAGCAACAATCCCGAGACACACAGGGATGTTTCACCCAGTTTTCCCACGACTCCCCTCTGCCCCCAGGGCAAAGGCCAAGAACTCTAGGGCCACGCAGAAGCTGTGCAGGCCTCAGCCCTCTTTACTGGCCAGACCCTGATCTTGTTCCCCTGTCCAAGATGCCCTTCCGCCCCCCAGTTCACATGCCTGATTGCCATAACAAACTCCAGCCTGTCCTTGGTCCCCCACCACCACCATGAGCCCATTGGACCCCTTCCTGCCATACGCATCCCCTGTTGGTACATCTGCCCTCCTCATGCCCACCATTCCTGTCTAGCCATAGGCGCTCACTTGCCAATTCTCCCCGGAGACGCTGCGTCCCTGCCCTGGCCCTGGCTCTCTCTCTGGTGAAAGGAGTGTGACCTGCTTCGTGCCAGCGCTCGGGCCCTGAACTCTGTTCTCCCCACCCTTCAGGTTTCTTCATCAGACCGTTTTACAAAATGATGCTGGGGAAGCAGATCACGCTGAACGACATGGAATCCGTGGTGAGTGTCATGGTTCCTCCGCGGGATGTCTCGGGCGCTTGTGCCTTTGGAAGGACTCTCCAAAGCCATGTCTGCCCTCCTGGGACAGGCTCTGGGTTTCTGAGATAGGGGCCTTAGGGGCCCCAGGCTTAAAGCACTCCAAAAAAAAAAAGGCACCGGGGGTCCAAACCCACCAGCCACTCCTGGGGAGAGAGACGAGAGGTAGTCAGCTTCCCTTCAAGCTCTTCCACCTCGGACGCCCGATGGGGCAGCCCTGCTCAGTCCCAGAGGCTTCCCTGCGTCAGGAGTCGACGTGCAGAGTGATGTAGGGCACAGGGGAGACATTGCAGAACCGTTGGCATTTAACGAGGGAGGGCATCCTTCTTCTTGCCTGTGTCCCCCAATGGTCACGCTCTTAGGAGATGGGAAGTTTGGTTATGGGGTGCCACCATGCACCCCTTTTCTGAATTACACCACTGCCACCAACAGCCCTTTTCCCACTCCTGCCCCAGTAACCACGAGGAAGCGGTGCCTTCTCTGTGTGGCTGCCTGGCGCGTGGACGCCAGCTTCAGTCACGCTTGTCCTTTGGTGGCCGACGGTACTCTCAGGGTGCGCCCACTGTGGCCCACCGGGGACGTCATCGTTTACTGTGATTGGAGTCGTTTTCCGTTCGCTCCTCGTTTCATCGTAGAGCTCAGCGCAGGCGATGGCTAGCCCCCACCACTCCCCAAGCCCCACTTTCCATTTGCATGGTCTGTGTGGAAGCACAGGAGCTGGCTGGGAGTGGACCAGGAACCTCCTCCCTCCCCGGACGGGGCAATGGCCATGCTTGAATGTTCTGGGTGGAGTCACATGAGAAGGACTCAGTGATTTTAAAGGGTCAGCTGAGTGTGTGTTTGGGCGGCGGGGCCAGGGGGCGAAGGTTTATTGGTCATGTCTGCGTCCTCCCCATAGGATAGTGAATATTATAACTCCCTGAAGTGGATCCTGGAGAACGACCCCACCGAGCTGGACCTCATGTTCTGCATAGACGAAGAGAACTTTGGGCAGGTCGGTATGGGCAGCCCCTCGAGGGTGGACCGAGAATGCTTCTTGGGTCCTAGGACCGGTTTGCTACTCACAGGTGGTTCCAGGACTCCCGAGAGGTTCACTGTCACCCACCTGTATGGCTTCCTTATGATCATGCGGGGGCACAAGGCCAAACCACAGCCCACCCACTCTCAGTCTCTCCTAGTACCTGGTCAGAGGGAGTCCGAGAGGTCTCGTAGGGCAGGAATGAGCACCTGCTCCTCACCTGAAGCAGATCCAAGGAGAAATTTCCTCTAAACAACAGTGGTGTGGTTTCCATAACTACAAATGGGGGAGGGGGCTGTCATCTCTTCTCTAATGGAATGGGTTACATCTGTGGCTCGGTGGTCATCAATGCCAGGTTGCTCATCAGGGTCAATGACTTCCTGGAATTAAGGAAGGGTCTCTGGAGGGTGTTTGGCCTCCCCTGAAAGCTGTGATTCTCTCCCCACCCCCCGAGTCCCAGTGATGCACTGGCAGTATCATCCGAGCCTGGTCCCTGGCCCTCCACAGACACCATCGCTCAGGCCAGATCCACACGCCCCTGGGATGAGTCCAACCCTAGAGCATGTTCTAAGGCTCGCTGTATTGAAACCCGGAGCCCTGGTGGTGTCGTAGTTATTCTCTGCAGGAGATAGATGGGGCTTTCTTCTCCCAGAAAGAGTTACAGCCTCGGAAACCCACCGTGGCAGTCCTACCCTGTCCCAGAGGGGTCACTGCGAGTCGCAATGGCTCGATGGCAGGGAGAACTTTGACCCATATGGTGCTCACATCGGATTGCTAACCTCAAGGTCAGCAGTTTGCAGCTGGCTGTGGCTACACAGGAGAAAGATGAGGCTTCCTACTCCAGAAAGAGTTAGCCTCAGGAACCCACTTCTACCCTGTCCTAGAGGGTCACAGCGGTCAGAGTGGGCTCAATGACAGGGAGCATGATGGATAATTTCTCCACTCCTTGAAACTAGTGTTCTCTGTGAACTACCCTGTGGGTAGTCTGTGTCGGTCCCTGATGGGCACCTTGGGGTGGGGCCGGCGAGCTACAAGAGCCCCCACCCCCGAAGCTTGTCTTGGTCACTCCTTTGCATCGCGAGGGTCCACTCAGGGGTTAGCGAGCTCGTGAGTGTATGTGCTAGCCTGTCGTTGAAATGTTAGCAGCGTGGTGGGCCACAGAAACCCTGCGTGTAAGGAATCCGTCTCATTCGAATGCCAGCGTGGACTTTGTCTCTCTCGGCTGGACTCATGCAAGGCCCTGATGGCCAGCGAGGAAAGGCTGACCCACCCACAGGTGACACCCGGCAGTCATCCTGGCGCTGTGGCAGCCTGTCATATCTGGGAGGAAGGAGGGAAAAACCAGGGAGGCTTTCAAAGCCATCACCCCTCTGGGTCATGTGCATAGACAGCCCCTTCTGTCCGTTGTGTGTATCCACTTGCTAGAAAGTGGGAAGCCTCCCTCCAGAGCACAGTCCAGAGAACTGAAGGGTTGCCAGGACTTGGCATCAACTCAATTGCAGTGAGCTTCTGGTTCAGGAAGCAATAATTTAAATTTTATTTCATTGAGATGGGGGGGGGCAGAGCAAGGTGGTGGCAGCATTGTTCGGCGCTTGCTCTACCCCTCGCGTCACAGCTGTAAGAGTTAATTTCCCGAAATAAATAAGATGCACTGGGCCGTGGTCTTGATGAGTGTGCCATCTTCCTCCCCTGTAACTGTAACAAAATGAAGAGCAAGTGAAGGGGGAAAGACATTGGCGTTCTCACTGCTGCCGAGCGCTGTGAGCAATCGTTACCTCTCACCAGTCACCGTCCGATCTTGTGCCGTTGTGAGAGCATCTTTAAATCGGTCCCATCTCAGCCACGAAAAAGTCTCTCCCCGACATTTTCGTGTGCCGCGCACCCGTTTGCTGGGAGAGGTTTTGGCACGGTTGTGGTTAGCCCTTTCCATTCTGGGCATGATTGCGGCGTCCCTTCACGTTGGCCATTGTCATCCTGTCTCTCTGCTTGCAGACGTACCAGGTGGACCTGAAACCCAATGGCTCTGAAATCATGGTGACAAATGAAAACAAGAGGGAGTACATCGAGTGAGTATGTGGAGGATCGCAGCCTGTCCCACACAGCCTGCTCACCAGACCACACGGTGCATGTGCTGGCCATGGTTATCGGTCGATTTTCAGCAGCACAAGTTCCCACTGGGCTTGGGCTAACGGGCAGTTGAATTGATGGGCAGTTTTACTTGTGCCAAAGGAGCCCTAGGGACTCCGTGGTTGAGCACTGGGCTTCTGACGAAAAAGTCAATGATTGTGTCAGTCAGGGTTGACTGGAGAAACTAATTCATAGGCACTCATATGTGGCTAAGAAAGAGCTTTATAGACAAGAGTAATTGAATATTGAGCAAATGTCCCAGCCCAGTCCAGATCAAGTCCATAAGTCTGATACTAGCCCATATATCCGATACCAATCCATAAATTCCTCTTCAGACTCACGAGACACATGCAGGAAGGTCACAGGCCAGTGGGTGGAAGATCTTGTGGACCCAGTGGCTGTGGAAGCATCTCAGCACTGGCAGGGGTCTCCGCATGGCTCCTCCAGCTCCCAGGGCTCTAGCGTAGCTCCATGTGTTTTGCAAAAAGAATGTCTTGAGGGGAGTGAGCATGTGTCCCACCTCCAAAGAGCTATTTATCTCCTTAGTGTCTCCAAATGAGGTCATCAAGACAATAGATGATGTAGCTACCACAACGGTTCAAACTCACCAGCACCTTCATGGGTGAAGGATGGTGTCCATCGGCGTCCATAAGAGGAGTGGTGGCTGTTGCTGTCTTTAGGGGCTGTTGGGTCGGCTCTGACCCATAAGGACACGGTGTTCATACAACAGAGCAAAGTACTGCCCAGTCCTGCTGCACCCACGGGGTCAGTCCGTCTTGACGAGGGTCTCCTTGTTCCGCTCCCCGCTGCTCCATAAAGACCGAGAGCTTTGGAAACCCGCCGGGCGGTTCTGCAGGCCGCCATGAGTCACAACCATCAACTCAGCCCCGATGGGTTTGACTTGCCTCCTGACTTCAGTGAGCTGTCATGGAAACAGGCAGAGGAAGGGGAAGAGAACGCGGTCGAGCTAGCTGGCAGATTCCCTCTTTGGAACATGTGAGGCAACCAGTCTGAAGTTCAGAATGGCGGAGTCGGTTGGAACATGGGGGCGGCTTAATTGGGGCATTACCAAAGATGAAATATTTTGTCTCTCTCCTGACTTATTTTCCAGAAGGGAAGTAGCTCGTATGGGCAGGCTGAATGCAAACTATTAGCAGGTGGCTTCTAGCATTTGTCATTTTCCAAACCCGGCCTCAGCCTCAGTTGACGTAACTAAAGACGAGGGTGTCTCAGAAGTCTGTGAAGTCATCTTGGGATATGTACCCGGTGCTGACGGCCGCCTTCTGCTGAGCTGTGTGAGCTTGGGTTCTCTAGAGAGGGGGCACCAGGGGCACCTCGTGAGTGTCTCTCGGTCGAAGGAGATTTGGATTGAGAACCGGCTGGCCTCTGTCGGAATAGGTCAGGCCAGTCTGGTTCAAGTCAGGCTTCTCCTGGCTCGTGGATGCTGACAAACAAGCAGCGGGATGACGAAGCCGAGACTGGGGGGTGCAGGCTGGTGGCTGCGCAGGCCCCACGTGGGCTGAATTGAAGCCACCATCGGGAGTCTGCTGACGGGTCCTGGGATCAGCAGGCTGCGCAACGAGAGACCGAGGAACCAGCTGCGGCAGACATTCAAGGGCCAACAAGCACTCAGTGGTTCTGCTTGGTCCCTCTCTCAAACAGAAAGATCTAATGACACCGGGGAGGTGGCATCGGGCTGGGCTCCCGCCCCTCCCCTTACCCAAGAGCATCTGGTTGGCTAAACCCCTCACCATCACATCTGCTTCCAGCCAGCAGTACTGCATCCCGTGGGGTCCCAGGGTGCCCCGTTGCTAGCTAGACCAGGGCTGGAGGGGTGGGGAAGTGCTGGTTCCCAAGTGCTGGCACCTACAGGGGTGGCCTGAGCACCTGTTTGCACACCCCCTCCTGGTCAACATGTCCTCTCCTCTGAAACTGGCACAAGAACTTGAACGCAGAGAATCGGCCCAGGGCCTGAGCAACCTAAGTGTGATGTGTCGAGAAGAGCAGACGCCTCTGAATGAAGAAGCGACAGAGGCTGTTGGGACTCTCCCTAGACACCTTGGCAGAGTGTGACTGTCCCTAGAAGAAGCCCCTCCACCATCCAGGTATGGCGAGCTTGTTCTGCTTGGTGACAGAAAAGGGACTATACCATGCTGCAGTGCATGTCCTTCAGTATCAAGTGCTGGCCTGCTCTGAACACGGAAGAGCTCGGGGGACACCTCTCAGACACTGGAGTCGTCACAAGGGAAGTACAGGTCTCCAGAGGCTCCTAAACAATAGGCCCCCGACCCCCACCACCCAAAGTCCAAAAAATCGGATCCACAGCATCTCTGCATGCATCATCCTTTGTAGCCAAGGGCCAAGGAACGCCGCTAAAAATGATGGAGCTGCCTGCGTTCTCCCAGAGAAGGGGAATGACAGATGCTGTGCTTGGCCCTGCAGCAGACCAGACCTGGGAGGCCCGTGTCCATGGCGCCGATTTACAGAGGGGGGCCCCGTAAGACAAAGTCCTCCTGCTGTTTGCCGATGAAGTGCCTTAGGGCGGACTCCGCAGTGGACTAGCCTCTCAGAAAAGCCTGCTCTGCACTGGACACAGTCCCGAGGACCAGTTTGTGACTATCCGTTACTGCAGAGGCTCGCATGGGCATCCTCCAGACGTCAGCGTTAGGATGCTCCTGCACATTTCCTGCTGGTGGAGGTCACACATCGCTGCACTCACAGAATACAAGCATGCAGGACTGCGGCAAAAATAGACTGTGCTCACTACTCTGTCTAAAAATGCAGCTCACGCACGTGTGTTTACGTGCTCGGTAAAGCAGCGGGGCAGCCAAAGAAAACTCGAGGTGGATGGACACGATGTCTGCAACCCTGGTCTCAAACACTGAGGAAGGTGCAAGGGCCGGGCAGTGTGGCCATCTGTTGCACACAGGGGTGCTGTAAGCAGACTCAGAAACACCAAACCACAATGTGTGCGCCTTGTGTGGCTTCAGGAAGTTCATGGCAAAGTCGATCAAAGATAACTGGGATTTTTTTCATGAATGGTTCAAAGCGCCCCCCCCCCCATGTCTGTGTACAGACGTATGTTTGGGTATACACGTGCACACATTATACACACACGTACACCCTTACTCCATAGTCACAGGTATAAAGCCACTTCGATAAGCAGAGGCCTTGTTCTAGAAAAAGAGCAAAGCTGGGAGGCGTTATTTGGGGTCCTCGGTGCAGAGTGGGTTTTCCCTGGTGGCCCCGTTGGTTCTGGCGGGATGAATGAGTAGGCTGTAGATGTGTGGCAGCTACCTCCCCTGGGGGCTGTGACTTTGGCACCTCTGAGACAGTGGAGGGGGCGGGGATGCTGGGCATGGCCACAGCACTTTCTCCCTCCACAGCCTCGTCATCCAGTGGAGATTCGTGAACAGGGTCCAGAAACAGATGAACGCCTTCCTGGAGGTGAGCTGGGCCGGCTGGGGACCTTGCTCTTCTCCTGCGGCCCACACTGGCCCTTACCTCGCGAGGGCGGTGGCAGTGGGGTCCTGGGGGGACCCTCCCGTGGCCAGCTCTGGCACTGGGTGGGGTCTCAGAGGTATCTTGTTGCCCCAAAGCCACCTACCTACCTTCCTTCCTTAAGTTAATTGTTTTCTGGCTTTTGCTTCGATCTTACCTCTTAACCTGTTTTTCCAGCTTATATCAGACTGTTCGGGAATAGAATCTGGGACCCATGGGGGCTAAAGGGGGCCACCTCTCTGCCTGCCGTCCCAGACCTCCTTCCTCAAGCTGGCTCATTTTATACCACGCGCCCTTGGGTGACTTGCGCTGTGTGAGGGGTGACACCCACACCTTCCATGATTAAGTGGGTCAAACCCGCAAAAGCCGGGGCCTGCCAGCAAACGGGGGCTTCCTGCACTCTGTCGAAGGTGGGAAATCGTGAGACCTGGAGAGACGAGGCCTGCCGGCGCCTTCCGGCTCTCACAGTCTCACCGTGTTTCATGTCAGTGAGGCCACTGACGTGATTGAGAGGCCCCTGGTCGTATTGCTGTCCAGTAATCTCATGGTTGGTAGTTCAAACCCACCAGCCGCTCCTTGGGGAAAAGGTGAGGCTGTTCCTCCTGAAAAGAGCTAGGGCCTCGGAAATGCTTTAAAGTAGCGGTTCTCAACCTGTGGGTCATGACCCCCGTGGGTCACCTGATTCACAACAGTTGAAAATTTACATTTATGAAGTAGCAATGAGAATAATTTTATGGTTGGGGGGTCACCGCAACATGAGGAACTGTATTAAAGGGTCGTGGCCTTAGGAAGGTTGAGCAGCACTGCTTTAAAGGGTAGCTATGACTCAGGAATAACTTGATGGCCCACCCACACCTTTCTGGGCCTTCAGATTGTGCTCAACTACTGCAACCTTCCAGAACCTTCTGTTTCACAACCTGCTGTTTTGCACCATGAACATCACTGATAGGTCATCGCTAGAAAATGTTTTTATTCCCCCTAAAATGAAATTGGAACACGCTTTTCCCTAGCTATCAGAAAAATCTGTTTTCTCTTCAACATTTGTCTCTTTCA